AGGTCTCCTGAATTACAGGCAGATTCTTTACCAACTGAACTATCAGGAAGTTGGTGGCAAGGTTAAATGGTACATCCATCATGGAAAACATTATGGCAGTTCCTCAAAAAATTATGTGGTCCAGCAGTTCCTCAAGAGTTGAAGAGATATTTGTACCCCTATTCCCATAGCAACATTATTCATAATAGCTAAAATATGGAAGTAAACCAAGTTTCCATCAGTAGATGAATGGATAAAAAATGTGGTATATGCACCTCATGGGATATTCAGCCATTTGAAGGGAGAGAATTTTGCAATATGGATGAACTCTGAGGACATTTTGCTAATCAAATGTCAGTCACAAAAAGATATATGATTTTATTCATATGAGGTACTGAGAGTAATCAAAAGAGTTTTGTGGTTGTTTTCAGAGTCTGGGGGAGGAGAGAATAGGGAGTTATTGTTTAATCAGTATAGATTTTTCAGTTTTACAAGATGAAAAAAATTACAGGGGTTGGATGGTGGTAATGTTTGTGTAACAATGTGAGTGTATTGCTATTTAATACCACTGAACTATACATTTAAAAATGGTTAAGATGATAAATTTTATATGTATTTTGTCTCTGTTAACTATATGGCTTGGCATAGCACTGACCTCAGCATAGTTAACAACACAGCCTTTTAAAATTATTTTTAAAAAATTTTTGACTGTGCTAGGTGTTCATTGCTGTGTGGGCTTTTCTCTAGTTGCAGAGAGTGGGAGCTACTCTCCAGCTGGAGTGTGCAGGCCTCTCATTGCAGTGGCTTCTCTTGTTATGGAGCACAGACCCTAGAACATGTGGACTTCAGTGGTTTCGGCGCATGGGCTCAATTGTTGGAGCTCCCAGGCTCTAGAGCACAGGCTCAATAACTGTGACACATGGGCTTAGCTGCTCTGCAGCATCTGGGATCTTCCCAGTTCAGGGATCTAACCTGTGTCTCCTGCATTGGCAGGCTAATTCTTTACCACAGAGCCACCAAGGGATCCCAGCATCACAATTTTTGGTACCACTATACTGAGCTAGGAAGTGTACAATAATTTTCTTTCCTATACTTCATTTTATTTTTCTGGGGTAAAATTATATTTTTACTGATTTGTTTACTCTTCTGTGCACCTAATGCTATTTTTTAAATGCTAAAGTTTGTCCAGTGTCTGGAAGCATTTTTTCAGAATGTTCACACACATCCAAAAAAATTGTTGGAGGATCTGGAGATCTTGTCTCCAGTCGGCTTTAGTTTAAACTAGTTATTCTCTAAGCTTGATGCTTGGTTTGTTCAGGATTTTACTTTGCCACTTTGTTGTGCTGGATGTCCTGTTCCCTGATCTGTGAGTCCTTTTATTGTTTTACTCCTTATTTTGATGAAATATGTCCTTTAACAATTTCCACAGAAAGGTTGCATCTTTTTTCACTTTGTGTAAATTTATAACTATTTATTTTAATGGTATTAATGATTTGGCTGAATTCATAGAAAACATTTTGCCTATGCATTTTTCTAAGTATTGTTTTCATTATGTCTGATGCCATTTTTGGTCCACTTTGTGTTTATGTTATTTTGTTCCTTGGCAACTTTAATGTTTATCTCAAGTGTTTTGAAATTTCATACGTTCATCCATCATCCTTTTTTCTTTCATTATGGTAGAAATTTGATAAGCCTTTGATATCTTAGATATTTATGTTTGGGGGAAATTTTCTTGTTTTCTTTGGTAAATTTTCAATTTTATTTTCTTCTCTGTTCTCTCTCTCTCCTTTTTTTTGGAAACTCCTATTGATGACAGCTACTTCCTGCATCAACTTCTCTGATTGTATGGCATTTTCTTTCTTGCCTTCCATCTTTTTGTCTTTTCATTTGGTCTTTCAAAAAAGATTTTCTAAACTTAATTACTTATTTTAGTTGCCATATATTTATTTTGAATTGCTCTTTAGTTTTTTATTTGTTCTTCAGTTGTTTTCAGTTTTTTTGTTCTTGTTTAATGGATATAATAATACATCATACCTCCAGGAATATTGAATATATATGTCATATATATTTATTTTGTTTCCAGCGAAGTTTCTGATGTCTCCTAGCCTCTTCCTTTATTCTCTTGTTTATTTTAATCTGTGTAATGTAAAGGATGTCTTCAGTTCTGTGCTGATCCTTGAGTGTTCATTCAGGTTAAAGATTAAAACACAAAAAAGATGATCAAAGACCCTGTGTTTGTACAGGGACAGGCTGTGTGTTGCAGCATGCCACAGGGTACATTCCTGTTTTATTTACCCATTCCCCCTAGTTCTCCTCAAATGTATTGATGTTTATGGTACTAGAAAATAAAGATATGAAATTTTAAAAATATTGTTACTTAAAATATATAAATATTTTCCTGAAAAATAACTACTTGCAAACAAAAAGAAATCTATTTAGAATAAATTGTTCTACAGTTTTGCTCATCTCTTTAATGTCTAGTCAAGCAGAAGGAAACTAGATTCTTGGGTTTCTGCATTCAGTCTGTTGTGGTATATTTTGATTGAAATATATGAAGAATATCCAGCTTCAACCAGTATCTTCTCAGATAATTGTGATATTCTTTTTATGACATCAAAATTAGACATATGGAAGTTTTCTTAAAGCTTGGTTACAATGTGGAATCATATCACTGAACATTTTGTACTCTGTGTTTCATTAAAATCTTCTGGTCAGGCTTGCACTTTGTTTGGATCTTTTATCCATATGTGATTTTATAACATTGTGCATTAGTCATTTAGACTATCTTGGTTCACAAGTCACATAGATCTTCCAAGTTTTGCCATGTTTCATATTACAAATCAGGTAATCACATTCATTAGTATTAGCATTTATCTCATGAATAGTAGATACAAGTTATCCTAAGATTTAAATTTTTCTTGAATTTTATTACTGGCAACAAACACTGTTTGATTGTTTAATGTGACATGCTCATTTTGTCAGTTTTGAAGGAAATCCCTTCTGAATACTCAGGTCTAAATATTTATAGTTTGACAGTCATTCTTTAAATATAAAAATGATGTTCCATGAAAAAAAATTTGGCCAAGTTCATCTTGCAACTAAATCTCAGACCCAAGGGTTTTTAGTGTGCAGCCAGCAGTACTTTATGCATACTTGGTATTTCATTACACAGACTATTAAAAAGACATGTACTCAAGGGTTGACATTTAGTAAAATTAATTTTACTGCTGGTGTATGCCAGTAGAGAAAACAGTGTCTGGTTCAATGTCAGTGCCTTGATTTGTGTTAAAATGTCAGCTTTTTTACTCATTACTGCTTAGTACCAAGAATTTTAACCTCACATGCCTCCTAAAAGTGTCTTGGAGGCCCCATATGTCTGTGAACCAACTTGGAGAACTGCTGACATGGATTATGTTGTACAGGTTGCTTCATGGATTACTGTGCTATATAACATGCTCAGTCTGCTTGGCAATTTTTTAGACTTCAGCATAGGAAAATCAGATGCTGAGGTGACTTATTCTTGTTAGGGAGGATGCTCTCAAAGTCTTTGAGGCTGATAATTTTCTTCAAAGAGGAATCTCCTAGATTCCAGCTGGGGAGGGTGGAGTGATGAGTGGTTCCTCTGGCTGCTAGCATTATGGGAGCCAGGCAGAGAGATAAATGAGGATCACTTTATTCAGTTTATGGACGTTTACTAAATTTTTCTGTTTTCTTTCAGTACTTCATACCTGCCCTTTGCCATTCCTGGTGTTCACAAGTCCATAGACTGTCTCCAGTTCAGAAACTTGGCCTTTGGCCTAAGCAGTAGAGGAAGGAATAGGTACCTGTTGTGTGAGTTGGGGAAAGAGTATTTAGGTTTCTCAGCAGTATCCATGCTTTATTTTTACCTTTTATGTTTTGACTGTTGTACTGAATTTCTCCAAATACCAGACCTCTTATTTTCTCTGGGAAAATTGATTCTCTTTTCCTTGCACTCCCCTGCTCAGATGTTTAGTTAATACTTCCTCCACACTGTGAAGTTAATTGCCATTGCTCCAGCTACTTTCCATTTACAAATTTGTTGAAATCTCTTTGACAGTTAGTATGCTTTGATGCTTTCTTGGTCTTTATGAGTGGAAATTGTTTTATTTCCTTGCCCTCATTTTAGCAGTGTTTTTGGAGAGCAGGGAAATATATGTATGTGATTAATACACCATGATCACTTTCACAGACTTGAATCAGTCAACTCTAGTGACTAAAAGTTGGACCTAGATTTGAAACTTCACCACTTATTGTGGTTTTGCCTTGGGTTTTCTGTTGATACTTAACCCATGCAGTCTTTATTCTCATTTGTAGAAATGGAGTTTATAATATCTAATAATGAAGATTAAATGAGACAGTGAATGTCAAGTTCTTAATATACTACTTCATGCATCATAAAGCCTCAATAATTTGTAATTGTTATAAACTGCTAAGCTGGCCTCTTTCTTACTGAGGTTTTATTGTATTCTTTCCTCCCAAAAAACATTTGAAATAATCAAAATATTTCATTTGTATATTATTTAATATTACTTGGTTTGAGAATGGAAGGGTTGCCGTGGTTCCAAATGTAAAATCATAGTATCCTAAATGTTTTATCTAACTACATGTTTTTAATATGTGTGTATAAAATACTGTGGATGAAACTTACTCGTGTTGGAAGTGTGCTTTACTAGTTTTCTAATCAAGTAATTACAATTATGGTTCATACTTGGAAGAATCTAGGGAAAGCAGGTATTACAACTGGTAACTGTTTCATATCCTTGATTCAAAAACTTTTGGTACACTGAAATTCTTGCAAGTTTTTAAAAAAACTATTTTTGAAATCCTGTTTTTAGTTTTAAGAGTTATTCTAAAACTTACTTTAAGAAATTGTTTTTCTCTTTCTTTGGAATACTAGGCAGCACACTTAAGTTCTTTTTATCTAGAAAGTTTAATATAATAAAAGTAGTACTTTAAGCTTAGCTTTGAATATAAAAGAAAAATGTTATTAATCATTTCAGGAAATTGCAAGATCTAATTTGGCTGAAGAAGAAACAGAAACATCAAATTCTGAAAGGTAAATATAAGGAAAAACTGAATCTCTTGAAATTCGTGTATATAAAATGATATTTGAGCTGTATATTATTTCAGTTATTTGGGAAAGGGCTATTTAAATTTTGTATATGGTGTTCCTTTTTATAATGGCTTTCAATTAAAATCAAATTTTGAAATTTTAATACAACAGAAATATACTACAGATCCTTAGTTTTGAAGCCTTTTAAGTATATGAAATACATTTTATAAGTTGTTAATTTTTTTAGAGTATGAGTAAATAAAATGGTAGTGGATTGTAATTGCCTCTGTTAAATGAAAATAGTTACAAGATGCTACAGGTTATAAGATGGTGACAATTATTGCAAATAGTTTTAAAATCTTATTTTTAAGTATTTTTTTAAAAGTTGTAAGTTACCTCTGTGGTAGGATCTCAACATAAAAGTTTCAAAATTCAATGTTTTTTTTTTTTTATTTAATTCTTGAGTAGAACACTTAGAACATGAGATTTCACTATTTTTTAGCAAAAGAGAATCCAACATTCTAATTAGAACTTTATTCCAGTTAAAGATGACTTTGTCTCTTAATTAAGTACTTTCCCCATTTCTGTCTTTATGCTGTGTGTTTTACCATAGTCTGCATGTTAACTTGATGAGATTAATCAATCTATTGCCTCTAAAAAGAAAATTATGGAATAAGACCTTTTGAAGATGTTTTTTGGACTTGACCAGGAAAATTATCTAGCCCTTTCTTTATCTAGCATTTTTCCTAGAATTTTGGATGGAAAAAGTTAACAGAATTCAACTAAGGACTTAGGAAAAAGACTAGACACATCTGTATTATTTAACATTTTCTATAAATTATAATTAGTTCAATAAGATCTGAACAAAAATGAGAATTTTACAAATTTAAATGAGGGAACTATTATAACTTTTTAGATGATGTAATTGACCTGTAAGACCCAAGAAAATGAGCAAAGTATGACTGAAATTAATCAAAGAATTAAGGCAGCAGAACCTTTCTTACATACCCATAGCATGTCATTACAAAATATAATGCATAAAATAGCTAATTCATGATAATAGCAAAATGAGCAATGTGCAATTTAGAAGACTTGGCAGAAAAAATTTACTGAGATACAAAATAATTCATTAGTAACTTACGTGATAGGTCATTTTTTCCAAATTATGGTTAATGAGCATTTAGTTGAAAATCCAAATTGGATTTGATTTGAAAATTAGTGGTGTTTCAAGTAGGATTCATATTTTTCTATTTATTAGTACCACAATTTAAAAAATCATAGCTGTGTTAGATATTAGGTTGTTTCTGTATTCACTATTTTAAACATTGTTTTAATGAGCATCCGTGTACAAATATCTTTTACTTCTTCAAACTACTAATTTAGGGAGAAGAGTAGTAGAATGTAGGTGATTTGACCTATTAGATAATAAAGTACAATGTTAATTTCTAATTGTTAAAACTGGATGGTATTGGCCTGTAATAGTCTAAAGACACATCAGAACAAAATAAATAGCAGAGAAACAGCCTTACAAATACAATTTAGTAAATAATAAATGACTATTTGATAACATTGCTTTGATATATAGGTACTTCATTACAAAAAAGTCTAAATTCCAGGTGGATTAATGTAAGAAATAAGATAAATGTAATCATTAAATTTCTTTTTGGTAAAATAAGCATTGTCACATCTATATAAGGGATCTGAGATCATCTTGGAAATTTGTTTCTAAGGCTTGCAGACATTGAAAACAAACTATGGTTACCAAAGAAGAAAGAGGGTGGAGGAAGGATAATTTAGGAGTTTGGGATTAACATATATATGTTATTATATATAAAATAGATAAACAACAGGGTTCTACTATATAGCATAGGAAATTATATTCACTGAATAGTTTCTGTTAACACATCAGAGTAAGAGTAACCACAGACATGTATACACATAAACCTATAGGTGTGCATGTTTTATACTTATTTCTTAGACATGTGTTAATGTTTTTCTAAGTTAGGCTGTTACAAAATTAGTAAAATCTTCGTGAATGCTTACTTGATTTTGCTTAGGAAAAACATGCTAACCCTAAGAGGACATGTAAATCAAAGAAAAAGAAAATAGGATTTTTCCCACATAAATTCATTCCTTATTTAAAGTACTCTTATAAGTTAATAAGCACACTCACATTTTAACTAAAATCAAGCAAGAGTATGAACAGGTAAAGTAATGATAACCAGGACTAAAACTAGTGAATAAACTTCCCAGGACTCCTTTGAATATGTGACTATGGAGTTCCTCACTCTGCTGCCTAAGAAAATGGCCTCTTCCTAAATTGTAACATCATGGCAAGGACTGGGGACTTTGATATTTTTTCTTTTTTTGGTGGGCAAGTGTGCCTTTTTTTCTTTTTCAGAAAATGTCTTTACTTTGAAAGTAAGTATTCAAATACATTGTATTATGAAGAAATAGATAATAAGTAGCTTTATTTTTTCAGTAAACAAGATGAAGCTTCTTCAGAGGAAATAAAAAATGGATGTGATGTTCATTTACTTGAAGGCTCATCAACAACAAAAAGTGAAGAAGATCGATCTGTTTCAGATAAAGAAAATGATAACTGTCTTGAAGATCAGGAAACTGGCTCAAAGGATATCTTCAGTTATGACTCAGCTATTGATGCAGATAAAGTGGAAAAGGAAAAACAAATAGAGCACATATGTCAGGAAACAGAGTTGAAGATGTGCCAAAGTTCAGAAAACCTTATTTCATGTGATCAGATTGAGGATCGCATTGCTGGTGAAGCTAGATTTTCTTCCAAGAATATTAACGATTTGCGGTTAACATCTGGTGATGTTAGTATTGATCAGTTTTTGAGAAAAAGAGATGAACATGAATCTGTTAGTTCTGATGTTAGTGAGCAAGGTAGTGTTCATTTGGAACCTTTGACTCCATCAGAAGTGCTTGAGTTTGAAGCCACAGAGATTCTTCACAAGGGTAGTGGTGATCCTTCAGCCAAGACTGATGCTGTAGTGTCTGATCAAACAGATAACGTTCCTGGAGAAAATAGCCTTAGCACAACAGAGACAACAGGAGACCTGGTAGATGAAAAAGAAAGAAGTTGAAATTAACTAGGCATTCTAAATTTTAGTGTACCAACAGTGCTATCAGGTGAGCTCGGTGCTGTTGCAGAGTGCAGACATAGAAAAATGTAAGGGAGGTCATTCATATATTTTACCTGTATGTTGAGCCTAGGTTGTTAAATCAATCCATCATTAATAGCATGACTAGGTATGAATTTCCAAGAAGTTTTTAAAACATGAGTAAGATTTAATGAAAGTTAAGTTTGCAGTGAAAAAGTCTCATTTTGCAGTTTTCAAGGACATGGAGCTTGGTGATCAATATGAATTGATTATTAGAATATTAGTTATGTTAATGAAGCTTTTGAAATTTCCATCAGTCCTAAGCTAAAAGTCCTTATTACCTGTACATCCTTTTCAGTTAACTTAAAGGAAGAGATTTGGAAACCACATGCCTTTTGGGAATAATTGATTTAAAATAATAGCTGATTGGCGTTGTTAATGAGAGCTTCATTTTGAGTATGATACTAGTAAATGGAGCATGTTTAGAATGCTAAATTAGTTGATCTAATGAGAATTTGGATGAACATAAACTTAATTTTGAATATAATATAACATTCCAGACTGCCAGAAGCATGTGAACAGAATATTTGAATCTGTGTACCTCCATACAAATGTTAGCCTGCCAGGCTGTAAGCTTACCTTAATTAAACTTTCAGTGAAAGTGAAATTATTAAAATAAAAATTTATATTTGTGCTTTTTGTCAGTGTGTATGCTGTGCAGAAATCCCTTGATGAACTAGTTGTATAAGTAGAAATCCATTGTTGAAAACCCTGTAGCTATTATGCTTTTAATATTGTTTTAATGATCTTCCTTAGAAATAGAACCATAAACATGGTCTGGAAACCAAACCAAAGTACAGATTAATGTAGATATTTGTAAAGCAGTAAACTGGCATGAATTCAGCCATGTTTAAGTGACTTTTTCTGTAACTGTAAAATAGAAACTTCAAATGGGACCTAAAGCAGGATGTAAAAAATTGGTTTGGGATATTTAGCCTAATTTATCCTTAAGATGGCTGCTAAATTGACTTTTTCAGTTTTTTTTTTTATCATATAGAAAATAATAGATACAGAAATGAATAATATGAATAACAGTAGTTTGCTTTGAAGTACTAATAAACTTTTATTTAAAATGCTACATTTTTACTTCTTAAAATGTGCTTTGAATTCTTAAATTTTGTTTCACTGTTAAATGTTTTAAATGGGTATTAAAATTCTGCTGTATATAGTAGTTTTTTGAGTAAATATTTGCAATAAAAATCTGTCCCTGAATAATTTTATTTTTCAGAAAGCTGCTTGAGTCAGATTACCTTTGGCGCCTCTAGAAATTGTATATTGTCCAAGGAAATTTCATGTTAAAGCTACTGGTAGATTGCATTTTGTATTCTTTAATTGATGCATGATTTATTTTAAATTGACACTTAAAGTACAGAGGGGAAACTGCTAATATTTACAGAGAATAGATTTGCTTTACAAATTCTTCTACTTCAAGAGAATTATAATTTAATACAGTTTTCTATCTGCTCAGTAAATTAAAGAGGCTAAATGGGCAAAATAAATTATTGACTTATTTTCTTGAATATTTTTTGGGGTGGGGGTAAATATTTTTATATTTCCTGCTCCTAAGAAAAGGTGGGGAAAGAAAGACTTATTAACTGTCATCCTTCACCTTGTTGAAGCATAAATCTATAGCAGAGAAGAGTTTTGGAGTAACATAAACCTTAGAAGAGCAAGAAGATGAGAAAGTCTGTGTAAGGACCATTTTCTGAATCTGGTTTAAATAATTGCCAAGCCTGTCACCTAATGCTGCAAAAACCTGGAGCACTGTGCCAAAGTTGTTCTCTAAATGATACAGTAATTCCTTGTGAACTGGAGTAGTTCCTCCTCCTGGTTAGATACCACTTCTGCTTACAGTAGCGGTATTTAAAATTCATTGAGTTGTTTATACCTATCCACTAGGAGAAAAAGAACCTGTACCAGACTATAAATCCTTCACTGAGAAAGTCTAGCAATGAAAAAAAAAAAAAAACAGTAGTTGAAATAAACATTGTACTTGGTAACATAATCGGTTTATGTTTTCACATAATCTCCTCATTTCTCATTGGGAACAAACAATTCAGATATGCAAACCAAACCTTTGAGAAGCAGTGCTTTAGCAGTGGTCAGTAGACTTCTGTGTAGAGTCAGATAGTGAATAATTGTTGACCATGTGGTCACAATTATCCAACTCTCCCTTGTAGCCTAAGAGTACCTGTAGACAGTATGTAAATGATGGCCAGTTTGTGTTCCAGCAAAACTTTGTTTACAAAAACAGAATGTTGGTTGGGGTTGACCAGTGGACTGTAGTTTGTATCTACGTGCTTTAGAGTGCTATTTTGTCTGGGAAAATGGTGCTCAGGGACTGAAATTTTCTTTGCTAGCAATTTATTTAACACTAGTTCACTGTGAGAATTATAGTTTATAATAATATTTCACAAGCCAATACCATATAGAATAATGTCTTAATAAATTAATAAAGAAATAACATGCTTCAAACCAATAATGGTTGATTACACAATTGTTCCAGGCAAAGAAGAGATGAAAGAAGTAAAGTCCAAATCTAGTTGAGGTGTACCTCTCGCTGAATTGGTTATCCGAAGAGTCAGTCCTTCAACTAAAAGCTGGATATCAGCTGACAGCGTAGGTCCCTTGCTGCTGAGGCATGTAGTTCGGGGATGACAGCACCTGTGTTGGTAGGCAAACTTTGCTGCCTCAAATGTTATAACTGCAGGGGCCATTACATGGTATGTACCACTGCCTACCAGGAGTAGCCTTGTCAAGGCAGGAACAGATGGCCCTTCTCTTCCTGAGACTGCTGCACAGTTTGACACTGCTGAGGACCAAGAGTGGCCTGACCACGGCAGGATCAAGTGTCTCAGATCTTCAGAGAGCTATTTTCAGCAAAGAGTAGACTTGCCCAGGCTAAACACTCTCTGTAAGTCCTCACAAATTCTTGGTGGTTGAAGTTTAAATGTCCGTCACTTGATAGTTGCTCTTCCATATGTTTGTATTGTTTAGCACCCCCAGAGGCACCCCTAGTGAGTGAACTACCGAATACTTACCTACAACAGCAGATGTCAATGACATCATCCTGGCATACCTTCCTTACTGTAAACAAATTCACCCTTAGATCGAAACAACTTCACTTGAGTCATAACCAAGTGGATTTGAAACAATAACAAACCAATACACAACAAGCACTTAGACTTTCTTGATTGACTATGAAAGCCAGAAATGCACTCTAGTGACCTTTTACCTAAGAACTAACTACTAAGGTGTCTTACTATTTCACAGTCCCCTGTTACCTAACAATAGGATTATGATTGATTCCATGTTCAGTTCAGTGATGTTAAGAAACATTCATTTTGCAGATGCAACATTTAATTTTCATTGAAAATCTGAATGCCATATTTTTGTTATTTTTTCTCCTTTGCATCTCTCTAATGTTTTAGGGAGGAAATCGTAAAATTTTTCACCCTATAAATTTTTAAAGAACTATTCTCAACATTTTTTAAAAGGAGTTGACAAAATGCAAATCATACTGTTTTAGCCATAAGTAAAAAGATGAGGAAGCCAAATATCTGGGCAATTATTTGCCTAAGGTTACAAGCCAAGATTTGAACGCACCACATCTATAGTTCCTAGCTTTTATATTGAATGCCCCTTTTAAAAATACATGTGTTTGCAAATAACCCTCCCATTGATGATACTAATTACAGTCTTATTATTCTTCAGTGATTATATGTGTATGGAATGGGGGCCCTACTGATCTGTTTTATTTATAGGAATTGAGGAATTTTAGCTCAAGAGGAAGGGTTAGTGAATATTCTATTGACAGGAAAAACAGCATGTGATTTAAAAATATACTTTAATAATTATAAATGTTTTGACATCATTGAGCTTTTTAAGCCTTCTGTAATGACATATTGTTGCTTCATGGTTGACATGATTGCTTTTGTTTCATCAAGACGTTTTACTCCAGGATCACTCACTTGCCCTGGCTTCAGTGAAACAGGACTTTTGTGTGTATATAGGCACTGGTGTCTCAGATGGTAAAGAATCTCCCTGCAATGCGGGAGACCTGGGTTCAATCCCTGGGCCAGGAAGATGCCCTGGAGAAGGGAATGGTAACCCACTCCAGTATTCTTGCCTGGAGAATCCCATGGACAGAGATGCCTGGCAGACCACAGTCCATGGGGTTGCAAAGAGTTGGACACAACTGAGCAACTAACACTTTAGGCACTGAAAAGAATTGCAAGTGTTTTATTTTTACTAAATTATTATAACACCAAGACTTGTTTTTTCAGCTAAGAAACACTGTGTCTAAGCATTAAAAGAGAAAGGACTGTCTTAAAAATATTGCTTACTAATGAGGCATATCTGCTAATCCATGTACACAAATATGAAGTGAAATAGATTTTTTTAAAGTCATGGTAATGTTTAATTTTCAACTCAAAATCTATAAATTCAAAGGTACTTCACTTGGATCATTTTTAAGAAATTCAGCACATCTGAAGTAGCATCTGTAATATCATCGAGGGATGAGGTATCCTGGGTGAATTACTTTTACAGTTAGCTAAAGGTAACTTTTAATTGCTTGTAAAAAGTATTATAAAATTACTTGCTACTTAAAAGAATATACAATGCATAATTTAGTCTTCTTTGATGACACAGTGAGTCATCATTATGAAGATTTTTGGACCAAGATATAAATGAAGCTGTAGCTGCAGATGTTAATGGCCTGAATAACTGCTGATCACAGAAGTGATCTTGGATTTTGATTTCCAGAAATATTTCAGGTATACCTAGGGTCATTTAATTTTTCCAAAAACAAAGCAGGTAAGCTGATTGCATTACTTACCCATTCCAAACTCTCTTTTTTAATTTATTTTTTAATTAAAGGATAATTGCTTTATGGAATTTTGTTGTTTTCTGTCAAACCTCAACATAAAGCAACCATAGGTATACATATATACACTCCCATTTGAACCTCCCTCCCATCTCCCTCCCCACCCCACCCCTCTAGGTTGATACAGAGCCTCTGTTTGAGTTTCCTGAGCCATACAGCAAATTCCCGTTGGCTATCTATTTTACATATGGTAATTAAGTTTCCATGGTACTCTCTCCATACATCTCACCCTCTCCTCCCCTCTCCCCATGTCCATAAGTCTATTCTCTATGTCTGTTTCTCTATTGCTACCCTGAAAAAAAAGTCTTCAGTATCATTTTTCTAGATTCCATATATATGTATTAGTGTATGATATTTTTCTCTTTCTGACTTCACTCTGTATAATAGACTCTAGTTTCATCCACCTCATTAGAACTGACTCAAATATATTCCTTTTTATGGCTGAGTAATATTCCATTGCATATATGTTTCACAACTTCTTTATCCATTCATCTGTCAGTGGACATCTAGGTTGCTTCCATGTTCTAGCTATGCAACCAATCTCTTTTTAAAAGACTTTTCCCTCCTAAATATTAAAGTAAAACCTGCCCTTTGTGGAGAATTTGGTGTAACTATAAACTGTAGTTTTTAACTTTCAAAACATTTTAAGCATTTAGTCATTGCCTTAAAATCTTGATTTTAATTGCTGTATATTAGAGGCTAGCAAATTGTGACCCACAGTTGGCCACCTATTTTTACAAACAAAATTCTATTAGAAAACAGCTGTGTCATTTGTTTATATATTATTTGTTGTAGCTTTTGCACTGCAGTAGCACAGTTGTACTGTCAGAGACCATGTGGTCCAAAAACCTCAAGGATTTACAATCTGACACTTTAAGAAGAAGTTTGCCAACCTCTGCCCTATGCCTTAGTATGGGTATGTCATAATTTTATAACCATTCTTTTGTTTTCAGTATTATAGACACTGCAGTGAAGTTCTTATTTCCTAAATTTTGGCCCATATTTTATTTACCTGTACTAAAATTCTAAGTGTATAATTTGTTAGATTCAAGAGTATTTAGTTTTTAAGTTGAGAAATAAGAGACCCATACTTATTTTAATTATCTTACCATAATACTTATGGAAAGCTTGTTGGTCCAGCACATTAATTGTAAGAGTTAAGAGCTTATTCATCTAAATTTTTTTCCTTTGACTCTTCAGCTTATTTTTAGCCTACTGTGGACTTTTATTCCTGCTACTCACCAAATATTTCTAATGTGTGGCCATTTGACTAGTTCCTGTCCAGTGAGTTGGGAGTGAAAGTGACTTGTAAGGGTTCGAGCATTTGGTTGT